TGGGGTAAGAAAAATAATGTTAATTCAAACGGAAACAAGATTATTTCTCAGATAATTTAGCTTGTTTTAAACAAGAACGCATTTCATTTTGATTTTTCCACCTAGAAAACAAGACATGATATCTATGGCATTTGACTACTTTAGTAAATCCATCTTGATTTAAGAATTTTTCGATATTTGGACTGAAAACAAGACAAAAATACTAAGTAAGAAAAGCATTTTTTGCAGTGTAAGATAAAGCTACGACAAATCAAGATTTCTCTTTTTAATTAACACCCTCACGGTTTTGTCTTTGAAGACCCAGGATTCACACGTTGGAAACCCTGGATAAATGAGGTTTTAAAAGTGTGATATCTTGACCCGGAAAAGTCATGGAAATAAATCAAATCTTATAACGCCACCATTACATGTACATTATTTATAATGAATACATTTATCATTTATTTCTCTTTTCATTTGGTGGATTGAAGGTAAAATTGTTCCATTAAGGTATTTTTAATGTTATACATTATCATCGGCCACTTTATTAGCTACACCTGTTCACCTGCTCGTTAACACAAATATCAGATCAGCCAATCACAGGGCAGCAGCTCAGGCATGATCAGGACGATCTGCTGATGTTCACACTGAGCATCAGAACGAGGAAGAAACGTGATTTAAGTGAATTTGAACGTGGCATGGTTGCTGGTCTGAGTGTTTCAGAAAATGCTGATCGACTGGGATTCGCACACACAACCATCTCTTGTGTTTACTGGACAACAGAAGACTGGAGAAACGTCTCCTGATCTGATGAGTCTGGATTTCTGCGGCTACTTTCAGATGAAGAGTCAGAATCTGACGTTAACAGCATGAAAGGGTGGATCGTCCTGCCTTGTATCCGCGGTTCAGGCTGCTGGGACTGGAGCAATCCTGTTTTCTTGACCCACTTTGGGCTCTTAGTGCCAGTAGAGCATCGATTAGACGTCGCAGCCGACCTGAGTATTGATGCTGATCATGTCCACCGCTTTATGACCGTCTTCTGATGGCAAGAGAACGCACGTCACAAAGCTGAAATCATCTCAGACTGGTTTCTTGATCATGATGAGTTCACTAAACGCTCCCAGCTGTGGGATCTGCCGGATCGGGAGATTCACCTCATGGATGTGCAGCTGAGAAATCATGACAATATGGACCAGAATCTCTGAGGAATGTTTCCAGGAGCTTGTTGAATCTCTGCCACGAAGAATTAAAGCATTTCTAAAAGGCAAAGAGGGTCTGATCCGCTACTAGCAATGTGTTCCTAATAAAGTGGCCGGTCAGTGGTGTATAAATATATATAAAATGAGAGTTAAAAATTCTCAAATGTAAACCTCAGATGCATTAGTGTGAGATTTTTTTTCTTTTTAAGAACTTCCCGCTCTTCTGTAGTTATTGGTGCGATCGCTCGACCTTCACCCTCGGGTCATATCACCTGTGTGTGACTGAACCTCAGGTATATCTCTCCGAACGTCTCCTCGCTCTGCTGTGTGTTTGCAGAAAACCAGGTGGCACTTCCTGTTTGCTTTCTTGGCGTTTCCTGCCCTTCTGCAACTGTGTGTTCTGCCGTTTCTGCCCGAGAGCCCCAGATTCCTACTGATGGAGCGCCGGGATGAGGTGGCAGCGGAGAAAGGTGAAAATCAGCTCATTAAACTCTCATCTAACTCATTTATTCTTTTATAACTCATCGTCACGGTCAGTTTGAGGAGGTTTGGACTCTTAAAACAGTCTGAGATCAAAAGCTCTGCTGATTTGTTCTAGATATTGTGTTTTTTTGTGTCCATGATGTGATCAGGTGTGACATCACATCATCATATATAACATCATCACATGATTACCACATCACAACACAAATCAAAGGCTCCACTCCTCTGAGCATGTGTGGGTAACAGATCAGTTGATGTCATTGCTGCACTGTATTAGTGATCGTGATCTGAACGATTGCTTCTTTAAATCTAGGTTTTAAAACCTTCAGTTCAGTTTTCCCTGTGTGTGTGTGTGTGTGTGTGGCAGCATTCCAGGCGTTCCTGGGCCGCACAGATGTGAGTCGCGAGCTGGACGAGGTTCACGCTGAGAGTCGCGCTCAGAACACACAGCGGACGGCGTCTGTGCTGGAGTTGTTCCGGAAGCGTTCGCTCCGCTGGCAGCTGATCACTGTGGTCGTGGTCATGAGCTGCTATCAGCTCTGCGGACTCAACGCCGTCAGTTCAACACGTCAACATCACTGCCATCACTGCAAACACATGAACATCACTGCCATCACTGCACGGTTCAACACGTGAACATCACTACAAACACATGAACATCACTGCACGGTTCAACACGTGAACATCACTGCAAACACTGCAAACACGTGAACATCACTGCCATCACTGCAAACACATGAACATCACTGCCATCACTGCAAACACATGAACATCACTGCCATCACTGCAAACACATGAAAATCACTGCAAACACATGAACATCACTGCAAACACATGAACATCACTGCAAACACATGAACATCACTGCAAACACATGAACATCACTGCAAACACATGAACATCACTGCAAACACGTGAACATCACTGCAAACACGTGAACATCACTGCCATCACTGCAAACACATGAACATCACTGCAAACACATGAACATCACTGCAAACACGTGAACATCACTGCAAACACGTGAACATCACTGCAAACACATGAACATCACTGCCATCACTGCAAACACATGAACATCACTGCAAACACATGAACATCACTGCAAACACGTGAACATCACTGCAAACACGTGAACATCACTGCAAACACGTGAACATCACTGCAAACACGTGAACATCACTGCAAACACATGAACATCACTGCACGGTTCAACACGTGAACATCACTGTAAACACGTGAACATCACTGCCATCACTGCAAACACATGAACATCACTGCCATCACTGCAAACACATGACCATCACTGCAAACACATGAACATCACTGCACGGTTCAACACGTGAACATCACTGCAAACACTGCAAACACATGAACATCACTGCAAACACATGAACATCACTGCAAACACATGAACATCACTGCAAACACATGAACATCACTGCAAACACATGAACATCACTGCACGGTTCAACACGTGAACATCACTGCAAACACTGCAAACACATGAACATCTCTGCCATCACTGCAAACACATGAACATCTCTGCCATCACTGCAAACACATGAACATCTCTGCCATCACTGCAAACACATGAACATCACTGCAAACACATGAACATCACTGCAAACACATGAACATCACTGCAAACACATGAACATCACTGCAAACACATGAACATCACTGCACGGTTCAACACGTGAACATCACTGCAAACACATGAACATCTCTGCCATCACTGCAAACACATGAACATCTCTGCAGTGATGGCAGAGATGTTCATGTGTTTGCAGTGATGTTCACGTGTTTGCAGTGATGGCAGAGATGTTCATGTGTTTGCAGTGATGGCAGAGATGTTTATGTGTTTGCAGTGATGGCAGAGATGTTCATGTGTTTGCAGTGATGGCAAACACATAAACATCTCTGCCATCACTGCAAACACATGAACATCTCTGCCATCACTGCAAACACGTGAACATCACTGCAAACACATGAACATCTCTGCCATCACTGCAAACACATGAACATCACTGCAAACACGTGAACATCACTGCAAACACATGAACATCACTGCACGGTTCAACACGTGAACATCACTGCCATCACTGCAAACACATGAACATCTCTGCCATCACTGCAAACACGTGAACATCACTGCAAACACATGAACATCACTGCACGGTTCAACACGTGAACATCACTGCCATCACTGCAAACACATGAACATCTCTGCCATCACTGCAAACACATGAACATCACTGCCATCACTGCAAACACATGAACATCACTGCCATCACTGCAAACACATGAACATCACTGCAAACACATGAACATCACTGCAAACACATGAACATCACTGCAAACACATGAACATCACTGCAAACACATGAACATCACTGCAAACACATGAACATCACTGCAAACATGTGAACATCACTGCAAACACGTGAACATCACTGCCATCACTGCAAACACATGAACATCACTGCAAACACATGAACATCACTGCAAACACGTGAACATCACTGCAAACACGTGAACATCACTGCAAACACATGAACATCTCTGCCATCACTGCAAACACATGAACATCACTGCAAACACATGAACATCACTGCAAACACATGAACATCACTGCAAACACATGAACATCACTGCAAACACATGAACATCACTGCAAACACGTGAACATCACTGCAAACACATGAACATCACTGCCATCACTGCAAACACATGAACATCACTGCAAACACATGAACATCACTGCAAACACATGAACATCACTGCAAACACGTGAACATCACTGCAAACACGTGAACATCACTGCAAACACGTGAACATCACTGCAAACACGTGAACATCACTGCAAACACATGAACATCACTGCAAACACGTGAACATCACTGCAAACACGTGAACATCACTGCAAACACATGAACATCTCTGCCATCACTGCAAACACATGAACATCACTGCAAACACATGAACATCACTGCAAACACATGAACATCACTGCAAACACATGAACATCACTGCCATCACTGCAAACACATGAACATCACTGCAAACACATGAACATCACTGCAAACACGTGAACATCACTGCAAACACGTGAACATCACTGCAAACACGTGAACATCACTGCAAACACGTGAACATCACTGCAAACACGTGAACATCACTGCAAACACTGTAAACACGTGAACATCACTGCCATCACTGCAAACACATGAACATCACTGCCATCACTGCAAACACATGACCATCACTGCAAACACATGAACATCACTGCACGGTTCAACACGTGAACATCACTGCAAACACTGCAAACACATGAACATCACTGCAAACACATGAACATCACTGCAAACACATGAACATCACTGCAAACACATGAACATCACTGCAAACACATGAACATCACTGCACGGTTCAACACGTGAACATCACTGCAAACACTGCAAACACATGAACATCTCTGCCATCACTGCAAACACATGAACATCTCTGCCATCACTGCAAACACATGAACATCTCTGCCATCACTGCAAACACATGAACATCACTGCAAACACATGAACATCACTGCAAACACATGAACATCACTGCAAACACATGAACATCACTGCAAACACATGAACATCACTGCACGGTTCAACACGTGAACATCACTGCAAACACATGAACATCTCTGCCATCACTGCAAACACATGAACATCTCTGCCATCACTGCAAACACATGAACATCTCTGCCATCACTGCAAACACATAAACATCTCTGCCATCACTGCAAACACATGAACATCTCTGCCATCACTGCAAACACGTGAACATCACTGCAAACACATGAACATCTCTGCCATCACTGCAAACACATGAACATCACTGCAAACACGTGAACATCACTGCAAACACATGAACATCACTGCACGGTTCAACACGTGAACATCACTGCCATCACTGCAAACACATGAACATCTCTGCCATCACTGCAAACACATGAACATCACTGCCATCACTGCAAACACATGAACATCACTGCAAACACATGAACATCACTGCCATCACTGCAAACACATGAACATCTCTGCCATCACTGCAAACACATGAACATCACTGCAAACACGTGAACATCACTGCAAACACATGAACATCTCTGCCATCACTGCAAACACATGAACATCACTGCAAACACGTGAACATCACTGCAAACACATGAACATCACTGCCATCACTGCAAACACATGAACATCACTGCAAACACGTGAACATCACTGCAAACACATGAACATCACTGCACGGTTCAACACGTGAACATCACTGCCATCACTGCAAACACATGAACATCTCTGCCATCACTGCAAACACATGAACATCTCTGCCATCACTGCAAACACGTGAACATCACTGCAAACACGTGAACATCACTGCAAACACATGAACATCACTGCACGGTTCAACACGTGAACATCACTGCCATCACTGCAAACACATGAACATCTCTGCCATCACTGCAAACACATGAACATCTCTGCCATCACTGCAAACACATGAACATCACTGCCATCACTGCAAACACATGAACATCACTGCCATCACTGCAAACACATGAACATCTCTGCCATCACTGCAAACACATGAACATCTCTGCCATCACTGCAAACACATGAACATCTCTGCCATCACTGCAAACACATGAACATCACTGCAAACACATGAACATCTCTGCCATCACTGCAAACACATGAACATCTCTGCCATCACTGCAAACACATGAACATCTCTGCCATCACTGCAAACACATGAACATCTCTGCCATCACTGCAAACACGTGAACATCACTGCAAACACGTGAACATCACTGCAAACACATGAACATCTCTGCCATCACTGCAAACACGTGAACATCACTGCAAACACGTGAACATCACTGCAAACACTGCAATCACTGCAAACACATGAACATCACTGCAATCACTGCACGGTTCAACACGTGAACATCACTGCAAACACGTGAACATCACTGCCATCACTGCAAACACATGAACATCACTGCAAACACGTGAACATCACTGCAAACACGTGAACATCACTGCAAACACTGCAATCACTGCAAACACATGAACATCACTGCTGCACACTACAAACACGGCAATCACTGCAAACACTGCAATCACTGCAATCACTGCAAACACTGCAATCACTGCAAACACTGCAATCACTGCAAACACTGCAATCACTGCAAACACTGCAAACACTGCAATCACTGCAAACACTGCAATCACTGCAAACACTGCAAACACTGCAAACACATGAACATCACTGCAATCACTGCAAACACATGAACATCACTGCTGCACACTACAAACACTGCAATCACTGCAAACACATGAACATCACTGCTGCACACTACAAACACTGCAATCACTGCAAACACATGAACATCACTGCTGCACACTACAAACACTGCAATCACTGCAAACACATGAACATCACTGCTGCGCACTACAAACACTGCAAACACATGAACATCACTGCAATCATGGCAACCCTGGCTAAAGAGCACACACACACTCTGATATGACAGATAGAAGAATGAATGAAGCAGTATGATAATGATGAAGATGATGTTATATCAGTTGATATGAAGATGATGTGTGTGTTTGAGGCTGATGATCCTCTTCCTCTGTAGATCTGGTATTACACTAACGGGATCTTCGAGAAGGCCGGGTTCGAGAAGGCTCTGATTCCCTACATCACTCTCAGCACCGGTGGCATCGAGACGCTGGCCGCCATCATATCTGTGAGTGAGAGAAAACACTGACACTGAAGAGGACAGATGCGCTTGTGCAGTTATTGAAGTTATCTGAATTATGACTCTATAGTCTTCTGTAAAGAGCAGCTTTACCGCTGAAATACAATTAGTCTCATATTTGATGAAGTTTGCATCATTGATTCTGTTATTTTCCTGTTCATCCCTGTGAAGCTGCTTAGAAACACTCTGTACTGTATAAAGCGCTGTAGAAATAAAAGTGAGTGTGTGAGTGTGTGTGTGTGTGTGTGTGTGGCGTGTGATGCGTCAGTGCAGCAGTGTTGAAGTAGTAGTGCTTGTAGTTAGTGCATGCTGCATGCTGCCTCTGCTTGCCTCTCTCTGCCACCGGATAGCCCTCTGTTTTCAGTGGTGAAAAGAGGAGCCGAGTGCGTAAGCCTCCTCAGCCGGTACATAGCCTCTCCACTGCCAGGATCTCGTACACGCCTCGCCGTGGCACACATGGTAACTGGTCCCTTGTGGTTCCAGGCTACGTTGTACGGAATCTCGGAGCAGCAGTGGGCCTCAGAGACGCGGCACGCAGGCCCATCGGTGAATGGAAACGCCCTGATGCCCGTCAACCACTGTCCCAGTTATGGGTAAACAGTGAAGACCCCAACGGCGGCGCAGGCGGAAGATGGTGATGTGAGAACCACCACAACGGCTGGGAAGGCGGAAGAAGGCAACCCCAAGCCACGTGGGTTAACTCGGGAGGGTACAGTGGCTAGGGGAGCAAACTAGGGATGGCCCGATACCATTTTTTTTCAAACCGATACGAGTACGAGTATTTACATTTGTGTACTTGCCGATACCGAGTACCGATACCGATATTTCTACCGCAAAAGTAATAGGCTCCCAGAAAAGAAGACGACTATTTTAGAACACAGGTTAGAAGACTGTTTTTATTTTCTTCTCTGCTTGTTTTAACAAGTCTAAAAATAAATAAAATTAGTAAAATAATAAATGTATTAACACACAAACCACTGTTAATTTAACATAAAAGCAAGCAGGCTACTGCGTGCATGGTCTGGCATGACTGAATGCGCGCAAAGTGCGCTCCCTTAATAAATCCTAAAAGCTGACAGTTCATCGCGATCTCACACATCTCTGTTATTATCAATGAAGCTGACTGCACAATCAATCTTTCATAATATCCACACGTTGTTTGTTATAATTAGTGGATTTGCCAGCATACAGAATTCAGCACTGAACAAAAAAGTCCGTTTTGAGCGGTGAGGGGAGTCTATCTTAAATGCTTCTGATTGGCCATTGCGTTCCAGAAATCAACACATATGTCTGTGATTGGCTACATCGCTCAACGCTGTAACCATGTTATGATTAGAAACTCTGGCCTGTAAATCGTTTCTATTTTGTTGTAGTTGTTCTTGTTGCTTTTCTGCAAGAGATGAATAAAAATCTTTTAGTTTTTATGTTTTATTCATAGATATTTCTAGTTTGCGGGAGTCCCGCGAATCGTTTTATTCTCCCGTAACCCGCACACACAGAGTGAGTGCATTACCGCCCGCGCGCGCGCTCGGCCATCAGATCTATGATGCGTCTTCAGATGTTTAATTAGATTGCTGGTGTTAAACGATGTACTTTCTTTCCCTCCTCTCGACACCTTAGCTGAACATAACTCACAGTCTGCCAGTCTGCCTTGCTGTTGTCATCATCCCTTATCTTGAAATGAGCCCAAACCGCCGACATTATACTTTCCTATGCCTCAGTTCACCTCGACAAAGCACTCGCGGCGGCCAGTTTCGTTTTGCAAAATGTACGTGGTATCGGTGCGTGGTATCGGCGAATTTTTATGAGTACGAGTACGAGTATATTAGGACAGTATCGGCCCGATCCCCGATGCCAGTATCGGTATCGGGCCATCCCTAGAGCAAACCCTGGGGACAGGCACAGGCGGAGTCCAACTGACCGGACCACTGGCAGACCCCTGCACCTCCTGCCAGGCGAAGGTCATCATGGGTTCCCTCATGCCACTGGAGGTCATCTGGTAGGAGTGAGGTCTGCGCACCCACACCCTCACCTTAATCCTCACCTATGCGCAGGCTTCTTGCCCCACCCCCTCTCCCTCAAAGTCCTGTGGCGATGTGGAATGGTGGCGGGCACAGGCCAAGGATGTGAGTGCCTAACCAAACCATGCACACAGGCGGCAATGGAGTGACGGTCACTAGGACTGCGGGATGGAGCAGCGCGTCTTTTCGGCACTTTCCACTGCGACTGAGCTGCCCCACACTGCTCACCCTGTGATGGGGAAGGACCTGGAAAAGGTGGTCCAAAAATTGTCTGCTCCCCACACTCCGGACGGTAAGCCGCAACAGTCGGAGCATCCCCCCTTGCGGTCAAAAAATCAAAGTGAAAAATAAGCTAAGCATTGCTTCGTGGAACGTTCGCACACTACGTACTCTCTGTACGGCCGTGATATTTCACGTAGTGATATTGCGCAAAGCTTCTAGGTTGCACGTCACACGTTGGCTCACTATTGGCCGACGCTGGTCATGTGTGTGATGCGTGACGTACAACCTAGAAGCTTTGAGTAGTTTCACTACATGAAATCTCACGGCCCACAGAGAAGGAAATAATTAGTTGAATAAAGTTGTTATTTTTGTTTGTTTTTTGCGCACAGAAAGTATTCTCGTCGCTTGATGAACTTAAGGTTGAGCCACTGTAGTCACTCGGACTATTTTAACAATGTCTTTCATAACTTTTGGGCCGGCCAGCTTCGATCCCTTAGAAGCCTATGGAGGAGTGATCCAGCTCTCAGATTTAATCAAACATATCTTAATTTGTGTTCCGAAGATGAACGAAGGTCTTACGGGGTTGAACAACATGAGGGAGAGTCATTACTGACAGAGTTTACATTTTTGGGTGAACTAACCCTTTAACCCGATAGAACAGCTTAGGGATGAGTTAGAGCGGAGACTGAGAGCTTCTCGTCCAACTTCAGTGCCGGACCTCACTACTGCACTTCTAGAAGAATGGGCAAACATCCCCATAAACACACTCCTAAACCTTGTGGACAGCCTCTACAGGAGAGTTGGAGCTGTTATAGCAGCAAAGGGTGGAGCAACTCCATATCAAACCCTACGGAATGGGGATGTCATTAGACTTCATGTGCATGTAAAGGCAGACGTCCCAAAACTTCTGTCAGTATAGTGTATTTGCTGATGTGCCGGTAGAAGCGACTGTAACGTGTTTGTTGTGTGTGTTTCAGGGTTTAGTGATCGAGAAAATCGGTCGGAGGCCGTTATTAATCTTTGGTTTCTCAGCGATGGCCGTTTTCTTCAGTCTGCTCACGGTCTTCCTGCATTTTCAGGTAAATAACAATCACATTAAACACACACTGAACACACATATACTGAACTCAAGCCTGTGTGTGTGTGTGTGTGTGTGTGTGTGTGTGTGTGTGTGTGTGTAGGACAGTTTCTCATGGATGCCGTATCTCAGCTTCACCTCCATTCTGCTTCTGATTGCTTCCTTCTGTTCCGGTCCAGGTACAGTGTGTGTGTGTGTGTGTGTGTGTGTGTGTGCCCGTTTGAGTGTGTGTGAATGTGTGAGTGAGTGTGTGTGAATGAGTGTGTGTGTGTGTGTGTGTTCAGGTTAGTTTTCATCAGTGTGGTGATGATAGTGCGGTCAGTCAGAGGTCAAAGTTCACAGTCCTGTGTCGGTTCTGATCGCTGCAGTTTTGGACACATCATGAGAATATAAAGCAGATGTCCTGAATAAGGTGTGTGTGGTTCGTTCGTCGACCTTCAGAAGGACGTGATATACACTCATATTGGCTCTTTAATATACAGTAGCAAATTAAGTGAACAGTTATGAATATAAATCGAGAGACTGACTGTTTCCAGCAGATGGTTTGCATCTCATTTGCATCACTGTCTCCTGAATGGACGGCAGGACAGAATATTCTTGTGACACACACACACACTCACACACTCACTCACTCACACACACACACTCAGTCACACACACACACACACACACACACACACACACACACACACACACACACACACACACACAGTCACATACACACACACACTCACTCACTCACTCACTCACTCACTCACTCACTCACTCACTCACACACACACACACACACACATGCATGCACACACTCACTCACTCACACACACACTCACGCACACACACACACACTCACGCACGCACCACACACACACACACACACACAGTCACACACACACACACTCCACTCACACACGCACACACACACTCAAGCTGCGTTCCATTCTACAGGGTCCCTACGCAGTGTTCACTGCTCCCTTTATATAACATATAACATGAATAAATATTGCTAATTTACTTTACTTCCAAATTTAAACTCAAATAATAGGCCTCTACATATACAGAACACACAGTATGTGTCTAATAAATATAATCAAAACATTGTATTAGTCTATTAGTTTATTACATAGACTACTTGTATATTTGATTGACAAATTTGAAGCTGTACTGAAACTGTCATTCAATATGAAAATAAATTTTGATTTGGTTAACTATGTATAAATGTGTTCTTAATCAATGCTCTTGATAATTTTAGCGGTCTAAATAAAGGTAAATCACAATTCAAATAAACAAACGACAGCGCCGCCCCAGCTGCTTCTCAACACTTTTACTGTGTTTACATATTCACACAATAGAATATGCACACACACACACTCTCACAGGTCACTGCATCATTACATAAACAGCAGCGAGTCGGTGATGTCAGTGCGGATGAAGCACCTGTACTGACTCTCTCTCTCTCACACACACACACACACACACAGTCTCCTCTTCATCCCGAGGGAAGAAACGCGCGTGCGTGCGTGCGTGAGTGAGTGAGTGAGTGAGTGAGTGAGTGAGTGAGTGAGTGAGTGAGTGAGTGAGTGAGTGAGTGAGTGAGTGAGTGAGTGAGTGAGTGAGTGAGTGAGTGAGTGAGTGAGTGAGTGAGTGAGTGAGTGAGTGAGTGAGTGAGTGAGTGAGTGAGTGAGTGAGTGAGTGAGTGAGTGAGTGAGTGAGTGAGTGAGTGCGCAGATGGCAATGGTAGTGTGTTATTAAGGGACTGATCCAGATGTGCTGGAACTCAAATGTTTCCTGATTCCCAAAAAACATTAAAGTAAAGTTTAAAAATAGATGTGCCGCTCAATCCATGTTAAATCCTCAGGACACGAGCTGTGAGGACAGGCGGAGGGAGGGAGCGAGGGATTCTCATTCATTCTCATTCCTCCATTACACTGATGCATTGTGTGTGTGTTTCAGTGTTAAAGCAGCAGATCTGTGTTGATGCTCCTCATTTCCTCATTTATTCCCAGCTAACAAAACTGTGCTCTAATTTTCCTGATGATGTTCTCATTAAGTAATGGACAAGGAGTTTCTCTTAGTGACAGAAGCTTACAGTGCACCGACAGAATGACAGCGACAAGACGGATAATAAAAATAAAACAAGTGATTAAAAATATATATATATAAAAAACACAATATGTATAATAGACAATAAAAGCGAAGGTGACGTGTAGGCCAACACCAGTCTCTCGAGCGACGTCACGCCCTCAGATGTTTCGGCTACAGGTCTGTAGTCATTGAAGATCAGAGCGGGAGCGGGGCGTGAGAACCTGCAATAAAGCTCGCTCAGGGCATCCGCAGCTGCTGATTCGAGTGCTGGGAGGCTGGCGTCTTGATGCAGGGTCGTTGGTTTCTCAGCTCTTCAGAATAGTTCCTCTTAGCCACTCTGATCTCCTTTGTCAGTGTGTATTTGGCCGTTTAAACAAGACTCTGTTGCCTTTAGTGTGTGTGTGTGTGTGTGTGTGTGTGTGTGTGTGTGTGTGTGTGTGTGTGTGTGAGTGAGAGAGTGTGTGTGTGAGAGAGTGTGTGTGTGAGAGAGTGTGTGTGTGTGTTCACGTGTTGATGGATGTTTCCGTGTGTCAGGTGGTGTCCCGTTCGTGTTGACGGGGGAGCTGTTTGAGCAGTCGTATCGTCCGGCGGCGTTCATGGTTGCTGGCACCGTCAACTGGCTCTCGAACTTCGCAGTGGGACTCCTGTTCCCCTTCATACAGGTGAGACTCACTCCTGTTCCCCTTCATACAGGTGAGACTCACTCCTGTTCCCCTTCATACAGGTGAGACTCACTCCTGTTCCCCTTCATACAGGTGAGACTCCCTCCTGTTCCCCTTCATACAGGTGAGACTCACTCCTGTTCCCCTTCATACAGGTGAGACTCACTCCTGTTCCCCTTCATACAGGTGAGACTCCCTCCTGTTCCCCTTCATACAGGTGAGACTCACTCCTGTTCCCCTTCATACAGGTGAGACTCACTCCTGTTCCCCTTCATACAGGTGAGACTCACTCCTGTTCCCCTTCATACAGGTGAGACTCACTCCTGTTCCCCTTCATACAGGTGAGACTCCCTCCTGTTCCCCTTCATACTGGTGAGACTCACTCCTGTTCCCCTTCATACAGGTGAGACTCACTCCTGTTCCCCTTCATACAGGTGAGACTCACTCCTGTTCCCCTTCATACAGGTGAGACTCACTCCTGTTCCCCTTCATACAGGTGAGACTCACTCCTGTTCCCCTTCATACAGGTGAGACTCACTCCTGTTCCCCTTCATACAGGTGAGACTCCCTCCTGTTCCCCTTCATACAGGTGAGACTCCCTCCTGTTCCCCTTCATACAGGTGAGACTCCCTCCTGTTCCCCTTCAAACAGGTGAGACTCACTCCTGTTCCCCTTCATACAGGTGAGACTCACTCCTGATCCCCTTCATACAGGTGAGACTCACTCCTGTTCCCCTTCATACAGGTGAGACTCACTCCTGTTCCCCTTCATACAGGTGAGACTCACTCCTGTTCCCCTTCATACAGGTGAGACTCACTCCTGTTCCCCTTCATACAGGTGAGACTCCCTCCTGTTCCCCTTCATACAGGTGAGACTCACTCCTGTTCCCCTTCATACAGGTGAGACTCATTCCTGTTCCCCTTCATACAGGTGAGACTCACTCCTGTTCCCCTTCATACAGGTGAGACTCCCTTCTGTTCCCCTTCATACAGGTGAGACTCCCTCCTGTTCCCCTTCATACAGGTGAGACTCCCTCCTGTTCCCCTTCATACAGGTGAGACTCACTCCTGTTCCCCTTCATACAGGTGAGACTCACTCCTGTTCCCCTTCATATAGGTGAGACTCCCTCCTGTTCCTCTTCATACAGGTGAGACTCCCTTCTGTTCCCCTTCATACAGGTGAGACTCCCTCCTGTTCCCCTTCATACAGGTGAGACTCCCTCCTGTTCCCCTTCATACAGGTGAGACTCCCTCCTGTTCCCCTTCATACAGGTGAGACTCCCTCCTGTTCCCCTTCATACAGGTGAGACTCACTCCTGTTCCCCTTCATACAGGTGAGACTCACTCCTGTTCCCCTTCATACAGGTGAGACTCCCTGTTCCCCTTCATACAGGTGAGACTCCCTCCTGTTCCCCTTCATTCAGGTGGGACTCACTCCTGTTCCCCTTCATACAGGTGAG